GGGCACTATTCCTCCCACTGACACCAACAATAAGGTGCTATTTCTTCCACTGATGCCAATGATGGGGCACTATTCCTCCTCCTACTGACCACAGGCGCTATGTATCTGAATACCAACCTTGTGGCAAAGTTTTTTCTCACTGATGTTGGGCTCGGGACATTTTCTACCCCCACTGGCCACAATCCAGCCTCCCTAAAGTCTGAAGGACAGTAAACTGGCCCTTTGTTTGTAAAGTTTAGAGACCCCTGCTATAAAGGGTGTGTACAAACAAAAAGAAGAAAATGGTGTAGTGTTACCCCTAAGACCCTGTACCAATGCAATGTGAAGCAAGTGTGTACACTCGCACTATAGTGCTCCTCCCCCAAAACACACAATATCCCTTTCTAAAAACAACTGTGCCGTAATATACCTTCCTCTTCTTATGTCAATCAAAAATAAATATATGTGGTGCACTCTAACATAAAACATACCGTGAATTAAAAAATAAATATATAATAAATGTATAATCAATTAAATTCCACAAAGAAGTTTCTAGATCTTGTGAATAAATACAGTTAATTTTAGCATCCAGTGCTGTCTGTGTTCACTCCGACATCCAGTGTTCTCTGTGTTCACTCCAACATCCAGTGTTCTCTGTGTTCACTCCAACATCCAGTGTTCTCTGTGTTTCACTCCAACAGTCCAGTGTTCTCTGTCTGACATCCAGTTCTCTGTGTTCCGACATCCAGTGCTCCCTGTGTTCACTCCAACATCCAGTGTTCTCTGTGTTCACTCCAACATCCAGTGTTCTCTGTGTTCACTCCAACATCCAGTGTTCTCTGTGTTCACTCCGACATCCAGTGTTCTCTGTGTTCACTCCAACATCCAGTCCAGTGTTCTCTGTGTTCACTCCAACATCCAGTGTTCTCTGTGTTCACACTCCAACATCCAGTGCTCCCTGTGTTCACTCCGACATTCAGTGCTCCCTGTGTTCACTCCAACATCCAGTGGTCTCTGTGTTCACTCCGACATCCAGTGTTCTCTGTGTTCACTCCGACATCCAGTGCTCTCTGTGTTCACTCTGACATCCAGTGCTCTCTGTGTTCACGCAGACATCCAGTGCTCTCTGTGTTCACTCCGATATCTAGTGCTCTCTATGTTCACTCTGACATCCAGTGCTCTCTGTGTTCACTCCGACATCCAGTGCTCTCTGTGTTCACGCTGACGTCCAGTGCTGTCTGTGTTCACTCTGACATCCAGTGCTGTCTGTGTTCACTTTGACATCCAGTGCTCTCTGTGTTCACTGCGACATCCAGTGCTCTCTGTGTTCACTTTGACATCCAGTGCTCTCTGTGTTCACTCCGACATCCGGTGCTCTCTGTGTTCACTCCGACATCTGGTGCTCTCTGTGTTCACTCCCACATCCAGTGCTCTCTGTGTTCACTCTGACATCCAGTGCTCTCTGTGTTCACGCTGACATCCAGTGCTCTCTGTGTTCACTTTGACATCCAGTGCTCTCTGTGTTCACTTTGACATCCAGTGCTCTCTGTGTTCACTCTGACATCCAGTGCTCTCTGTGTTCACTCCGACATCCAGTGCTCTCTGTGTTCACTTTGACATCCAGTGCTCTCTGTGTTCACTCCGACATCCGGTGCTCTCTGTGTTCACTCTGACATCCAGTGCTCTTTGTGTTCACTCCCACATCCAGTGCTCTCTGTGTTTACTCTGACATCCAGTGCTCTCTGTGTTCACTCCGACATCCAGTGCTCTCTGTGTTCACTCCGACAGCCAGTGCTCTCTGTGTTCACTAGTAAAAGAAACCATAAAGAGAGTCCCATAGTGAAAATCCATTCATTATTAAAAAAGAATACTAAAGTATTTCACTTAAAGCTTTAAGAAGAAATAGGCACTTTAAGAATCACTGTGAGGACCGGAAAACCATGCGTTTCACTGCCCAAACCGGAAAACGGAAATTACGTAATTAGCTCCACCCAACGTGTTTCGTCACAGTGATGTCATCAGCAGCGTATATTTGTGGGTCACTGCCCCTGCAGATCTGACAATTTTTAAAGAATTTATCCACAAGTATCCCAAAGCAGGTAACAAGGCCACAATTTTTAACAACTTCCCACCCATAGGAAGTATCCGTACATCCTTGAATTGAAGTGGTTATAACGAGGCTATGGCTACTGCTGCTGCAGTCATGACCCCGGTACCAGCGTTTTTAGCCAGCGATACTGAATAATGTAAAAGTGATCAGAGCAGCTAAATAGCTGTTGGATCACTTTTACATATAGCAAAAGCCCCCCCCCCCCTCCCCCATTCTTAAAGTAACTTTCTTGGCTCTCCTGTTCCACCAGGGAGCCCAGGAATGATGCCAGTGGTTCCGCCGGCTTAAAAGAGAGATGACCGAGGCCTGGATTATCTCTATGGTCTAAAAAAACCAGAACCAAAGAGGATTTTGTCACTTCTAAGTTTCAATATGCCGTTACTTGCTTGTGAAAGCATCTGGTCAAACCGATCTCGGTTTGATCAGATGATTTTAAGGGCAAAGGAGAGATCTTGGATCTAATAGACTCCAGAAGTCTCAGTAAAGAGAACCTGCCACTGCCTATGCTATCACAAGGGATGATCAATTATTTTTTTTTAAGAGACAAATTAAAAATAAAAAAAAAATAAATTAAATAAATATTAAAATGAAAAAAAAAAAAATAAAGTGCCCCTGATCCCCGTGCTCGCTTGCAAAGGCAAATGCATGCGTAGGTCCCTCATGCATATGTGAACCACGATCGCACCACACATATGAGGTATCGCTGCAAACATTATCGCGAGACTTGCACTGGACCTCCTGTGTCATTCTAAACTGGTAACCTGTAAAGCAGTGGTTCTCAACCTGTGGGTCGTGACCCCTTTGGGGGTCGAATGACCCTTTCACAGGGGTCACCTAAGACCATCGAACAACACATTTCCAATGTGTAAAGAGTAAATAATTTTTTGGTTGGGGGTCACCACAACATGAGGAACTGTATTAAGGGGTCGCGGCATTAGGAAGGTTGAGAACCACTGCTGTAAAGGCTTTTAAAGCGTTGCTTATGAAGATTTTTAAGTACCATAGTTTGTAGCCATTGCATGGGTGTATATAATTTGTAAAGCGTGAAATGTTAGTTTTACTCAGCATAACATCATCTTTTTTATTTTACCAAACAATTGGGTATTATATTGTGTTTTTGTGCATTAAAATTCATTAAAGTGCAAACAAACAAATGCTGATTTTTACATGTAGGAGAGAAATGTCAGAACTGGCCTGTGGATTATTAATTAAAGGATGTAACGGAACCGACCCCAGACTGCACTTGGGTACTTCCGTTAGAATACCGCTTCCCCGTCCGAACACCGACTACAGACACCACAACTGACCATACAAGACTAGACAACACCAATCTTGAAGTAAACCAGGAGGTAGACTACTTTATTTCAACACAGATACAAGATATATACACTCAAGGGACAGTCCCCCCTCCCTGCATAATGACACAGGGCGGGGCAATCTACATTTAGTAACAAGAGACACACAGGTATTCAAACTTCACAAAAGCAAACAGCCCCATCAGGAGGGAGGGCTGCTGGAGACACCCCCCCCCCCCACCCCCACTAAGCTAATACACATACACACATACATCCCATAATAGTTTGCTCCCAAGCAAGACACACAATAGAACAATGGGATGCAGTCACACAACACCAAACAATCCACAACCCCCACCCCACCTATCTACTAGACATGTCTACACAATATTAGGACAGATCACCCTGTACCCCTAACAGGCACAGGGTGACTTACACATAAGAGGGATATGGGGGCTAAGACAGAGGTCTCCCCACCTCTCCAAAGTGAGCTGGGTTCCACCCAAAGTGACTCCCATCATCTAAACCAATGAAGAATGCAATATATTGCAGATTAGCAAGTCTTGGGTGTGGTGGCATTTGTTTTCTTTTTTTTTTTTTTTTTCCCCTGTATTTTCACCAGGCGATCCTGCCAGTAGCTCACTATCTGTCCTAGGGCGGTCCCGCTCACTCACTGTACTGTACCTGTGTAGAAGCATAGTTGTCACCCTAGGAGAGGACTACATAGCACCTCCCAATCTTAATAACATAAGATGTTCTGTAGTCCTCACACACTTCCTGATAATAAGACATTGATAAGTTTGCAGAGACCACAGAACAGCACTGAATTTCTGGCAGGATCGACAAGCATTTATTGCACCTAATAAACAGACAAAACAAAAAACTTCAACTGGTATATTTAACAAAGCAAAAGGGGAGACAATAAGAGAAGTTCATTTTATGGTTTACATACACTTTAAAGCAGAACTCTAGCCAAAAATAGCAAGATAAAGATGACTTAGATGAACTAGCATAGCAAAATCAAGTTTTGCTGTAACATTCATCTTCAGTTCAAAGATTTCCCCGGTAGTCGCACTTTTTCCTCTCACTAGATGTCCTCACTCTGATGGCTAGCATCATTTAACCTCATTTCCTCTGAGCCCAGGTTGTCCTGGACCAGCCACCAACCTATGAAATAGAAGCAGCACAGTGAGGAGCCCATGACCCTGTCAATGATTCACTGGTTTTCCTTCCTTGGACCATTTTTGGTTGGTCCTGACCACTGCAGACTGGGAACATCCCACAAGAGCTGCAGTTTTGGAGTTGCTCTGATCCATTAAAATCTAGCCTTTGTCAAAGACTCTCAAATTGTTACACTTGCCCATTTTTTCTGCTTTCAAGACAGCTTCAGGGATGGCATGTTCACTTGCTGCCTAATATATCCCACTCACTTTCAGATGCCATTGTCATAACATAATCAATGTTAATCACTTTACCTGTCAGTGGTCATAATGTTATGGCTGATCCACGTATATGGATATACACTATATTGCCAAAAGTGTTGGGACACCCCTTGAAATCATGTGATTCAGGTGTTCCAATCACCTCCATGGCCACAGGTGTATACAATCAAGCCCCTAGGCATGCAGACTGCTTCTAAAAACATTGTGAATGGGTCGCTCTCAGGAGCTCAGTGACTCCAAGCGTGGTCCCGTGATAGGTGGCCACCTGTGCAATAAGTCCATCCATGACATTTCCTGGCTACTAAATATTCCACGCTCAACTGTTAGTGGGATTATAACAAAGTGGAAGCAACTGGGAACAACAGCCACTTAGCCACTAAGTGGTAGGCCACGTCACATCCCAGAGCGGGGTCAGTGTATGCTGAAGCGCACAGTGCGCAGAAGTCACCAACTGTCTGCAGAGTCAATAGCTAAAGATCTCCAAACTTGGTGTGGCCTTCAGATGAGCCCAACAACAGTGTGTAGAGAGCTTCATGGAATGGGTTTCCATGGCTGAGCAGCTGCATCCAAGCCTTACATTACCAAGTGCAATGCAAAGCGTCGGATGCAATGGTGTAAAGCACGCCGCCACTGGACTCTAGAGCAGGGGAGACGTGTTCTCTGGAGTGACCAATCACGCTTCTCTGTCTAGCAATCCAATGCACGTGTCTGGGTTTGGCGGTTGCCAGGAGAAAGGTACTTGCCTGACTGCATTGTGCCAAGTGTAAAGTTTGGTGGAGGGGGGATTATGGTGGGGGGTTGTTTTTCAGGGGTTGGGCTTGGCCCCCTAGTTCCAGTGAAGGAAACTTTTAAGGCATCAGCAAACCAAGACATTTTGGACAATTTCATGCTCCCAACTTTGTGGGAAGAGTTTGGGGATGGCCTCTTCCTGTTCCAACATGACTGCCCACCAGTGCACAAAGCAAGGTCCATAAAGACATGGAGGAGCCAGTTTGGGGTGGAGGAACTTGACTGTCCTGCACAGAGTCCTGACCTCAACCCCATAGAAGACCTTTGGGATGAATTAGAGTGGAGACTGTGAGCCAGGCCTCCTCCCCCGACATCAGTGCCGGACCTCACAAATGTGCTTCTGGAAGAATGGTCCAACCTTCCCATAGACACCCTCCTAAACCTTGTGGACGGCCTTCCCAGAAGAGTTGAAGCTGTTATAGCTGCAAAGGGCGGGGCCAACTCAATATTGAACCCTACGGACTAAGACTGGGGGCCATTAAAGTCCATGTGCATGTAAAGGCAGGCGACTAATACATTTGGCAATATAGTGGGTGTATCCCTAGGAGGAATTACCTACATACAGTATACGGTGACTATCACATTCCCTTCTTTATGGACTCTGAACAACATATTGATCAGCATCACGGGTAAGGATGTACATTAGCACTGCTATGTGGAATTTTAGAATATCTGTCTTTACTGAGTTACTTTACTGAGTTACTTTACTGAGTTAGTTTATAGGATGGGGTCATAAATCCTGAGTCTTTATTACAGTCCAACCCCAGGCACCATCGTTCTGTTAGCTTTAGAGAAGACATTATCTGACTTTCCCATACAGCTTAAAGCATATGTAAAGCTTAACAATGAGCTTCTCTTATGTGCTCCTCTTTGGTATGTTAAATATACCATTGAAAGAGCTTTATATCTGTTTGATATATGCAAAAATCACCAGCTGCTTTTGCCAGAAATTTTATGAAATGATCATTTCCCTGTAATCCTGTCCTAGGGTGCCAATGGTGCCTCTCCTCCATAGATACAGTGCAGGGAGTCAGCATTGTCATCCTAGTACAGGCAGCGTGTTACTACAAGAAAAGAAATAGAATCACGGGACTCGGATCTTAGCTTTCCTTCCAGTGCAAGTCGGTAATGGTTCTGGTCACATTGGATCTCTTGGAGACAAAGAGTGGGGGAATTGTCCCACAGAAGCGGGATTCACTTGAGGAGTTTCAATGAATGGAAGGAAGAAAGCTTCAGACCACCAATTAAAAGTTCATATATCCTTTATTCTTGGCAACAAAGTTGCACACCAATAGAAGAAAGTAGCCAACGTGTTTCAGGAGTCAAAGCACCTTCCTTCCTCAGGGCTCGGTCAGTTGTTAAAAGTCCAATCTGGACTGTGGTATGACCTCCCAGATGGATATCTCAAGGGACACAGGCGGGCATGCAGAACTCAGCAGGCCAGTGTGCCGTTAATGATTGTGAATTGAGCCACCACTGGACAGTTTGGTTTACAGACACAGTGTACAGAGTCAATCCAAGCGGCTCTGTACCATGTGATTGTTGTGATGATCAATCAAAGCAGTTATAAATGTAAACAGTATAGTGTTTGCATTATACAGTACGCCCCTTACTCTTAAATTGCATTTAACCCTGTCACCCCCTCAGGGCCAGTGCTACCACTAGGCAAACTAGGCAGCCTTCTAGGGCGCAGCCACGACCGTGAGTCACAGATATCTTCGACCTGCTGGTAAAATGCAAACAGAGACACACACAGTCACAGAGATCCCTCCCCTGACTCCTCCACCTCCAGGAAGTCAGGTGCTGTCTACCTGTTTTCTGATTGGTTGGTGCTGAGTGAGAGGGCGTGGCTACCCAAGGGACGCCAGCCCGCCTTGAGCTGATCAGTTGCAGGAGCATGCGAAAAGGGTGCAGCTGCGCTAACTGAACAGTGGACCCGTCACAAGGAGCAAACAGCCTGGAGTGTGAAGAGTGGCTGCTGCCGACCCAACTGAAGCAAGGAGGAGCAGGGACAGAATGTCACTGAGTGGAGAGAGTCCAGCCAGAGGAGAGAGATCCAGAGGGCATATGGTGGAGACAAGAGCCAGCCTGAGTCTAAGGGGTCACCCGGAGAGGACTGTGGAGGCCAGCAGAGCCAGCCTGAGTCTAAGGGGTCACCTGGAGAAGACTGTGGAGGCCAGCAGAGCCAGCCTGAGTCTAAGGGGTCACCCGGAGAGGACTGTGGAGGCCAGCAGAGCCAGCCTGAGTCTAAGGGGTCACCCGGAGAGGACTGTGGAGGCCAGCAGAGCCAGCCTGAGTCTAAGGGGTCACCCGGAGAGGACTGTGGAGGCCAGCAGAGCCAGCCTGAGTCTAAGGGGTCACCCGGAGCAGACTGTGGAGGCCAGCAGAGCCAGCCTGAGTCTAAGGGGTCACCCGGAGAGGACTGTGGAGGCCAGCAGAGCCAGCCTGAGTCTAAGGGGCCACCCGGAGAGGACTGTGGAGGCCAGCAGAGCCAGCCTGAGTGGACAAACTCACCCAGCCAGGGCCAAGGGACTCAGATAATTAATTAGCTGTCCTGACAGTCATCTTCATGTCATCTCCATCTTGCACACACTGTCACCTCCATCCTGTGCCCAGCATCATCTCCATCCTGCACACACTGTCACCTCCATCCTGTGCCCAGAGTCATCTCCATCCTGCACACACTGTCATCTCCATCCTGTGCCCAGAGCCATCTCCATCCTGCACACACTGACCACTCCATCCTGTGCCCAGAGTCATCTCCATCCTGCACACACTGACCCCACCATCCTGTGCCCAGAGTCATCTCCATCCTGCACACACTGTCACCGCCATCCTGCGCCCAGAGTCATCTCCATCCTACACATACTGCCACCTCCATTCTGTGCCCAGAGTCATCTCCATCCTACACATACTGCCACCTCCATTCTGTGCCCAGAGTCATCTCCATCCTACACATACTGCCACCTCCATTCTGTGCCCAGAGTCATCTCCATCCTGCACACCACATTCTGCACTATGTAAGTCATTTCCCAGCCCTTTAAGCCACGCCCAATATTTAACATGATTTAAACCACTGCCGCATTTCGCCCGCTGCACGCGTTTGTATTTTTCTTGTGTCTTGTAGAACATCACTTCCTCCCAGCTCCCCAGTCAGTTATTTTTTGGGGGGAGGTTCACAATAGTCTAGCACCGGCCCTGCACCCCCTCCACTCCTGTGTAGCTCAGCCCTATCCTATCTCTGCAGTGACCTGTATAGTAACCCCTTGTCCTGCCCATCTGTACATTACCACTGTAGTTGACGTGTACATTTACTGTGGGTGGGTGCCATGTATGTAATCAGTTTATGGGTATGCAGCGCACTGCTGTGTCCACCGGCCTTCGGCCACTTTGAGTGGCCGAGATATCACTTGATCGTTATGCGATCACATGCTCACAATGTCAACACAACTGTTATGAATGGTTATGTTATGAATACTGTGATGCTGTGATTGGCCCACAGCTATCACATGGTACTTGTGCCAATCACAGCATGCAATAGTAATCACAGCTGTTATGAATGTAACTCATTCATGACACTTCAAATCATTGCTGTAACAACAATCAAAGTGTAGAAAAATTTCCTGATCACTGAACTACTCTGATGAAAGTATGTAGGGAAAAAAAAAGAAAAAAAAAGAAAAGAAAATGTTAACAAAAAAAAGTTTTAAAAAACCTTTATAAAAACTGAATTAAAGATATATGACTTTTTTGATTTTTTAAACATACTGTCACCAGTCAGTATCCCCGATCACCACGCACACACATATGATGACATTGTACCGCACTGGTGATAGTGAGTAGAGATGAGCGAATCGAACCAGGCGAACCGGAATTCGAGTCGAATTTCAGGAAATATTCGATTCGCGGCGAAACCGAAATTTTGCCTACTTCGGGTGCGCGAATCGAACATTTCCCGATCAGCCGGCAAAAGTGTCCCTGCAGTGAGCTCCGCTATTTCTGACAGTTCTCTGACAGAAGGAACACATGTTTAGCGGTTGAAACATTGTATCTATTAGTTTACATTTAGGATACAGATGTTTCAACCGCTGTACATGTGAAGAAGCTGTGAGAGAACTGTCAGAAATAGAGGAACTCTGCACATACACTTTTTGCCGGCTTGGAATTATTCTTCTTTTCATCCTACTTCTTCTTCTTCTTCTTCTTCATCCTAATCCTCATCCTCTTCTTCTGAGGATGAGGATGAGGATGAAGAAGAAGAAGAAGCAGTAGGATGAAAATAAGAATAATTCCAAGCCGGCAAAAAGTGTATGTGCAGAGTTCCTCTATTCTGCAGATACACTTAGAGGAGCTCTGCACATACACTTTTTGCCTGTTTGGAATTAATCTTATTTTCATCCTACTTCTTCTTCTTCTTCTTTATCCTCATCCTCAGAAGAAGAAGAAGAGGATGAAGAAGAAGAAGAAGAAGAAGTAGGATGAAAATAAGAATAATTGCAAGCCGGCAAAAAGTGTATGTGCAGAGTTCCTCTATTCTGCAGATACACTTAGAGGAGCTCTGCACATACACTTTTTGCCGGCTTGGAATTAATCTTTTTTTCATCCTACTTCTTCTTCTTCTTCTTCTTCTTCATCCTCATCCTCATCCTCAGAAGAAGAAGAAGAGGATGAGGATGAGGATGAAGAAGAAGAAGAAGAAGAGAAGAAGTAGGATGAAAATAAGAATAATTCCAAGCCGGCAAAAAAGTGTATGTGCAGAGCTCCTCTAAGTGTATCTGCAGAGCTCTCTAAGTGTATCTGCAGAATAGAGGAACTCTGCACATACACTTTTTGCATGTCCCAGAACTGTCAGAAATAGTCTATTTCTGACAGTTCTGGGACATTCACTCCATACAGCTGTTTCAACCGCTGTATGGAAGGAATGTCATAGAACTGTCAGAAATAGACTATTTATGCAGTTCTGGGACATTCACTCCAT